TCTTTCCCGCAAATGCTTTTAACGGAAAACTTTTCCGTTCAAAGCTTTTGCGGAAAATCATGCCAGTCTAGACGTAGCCCCCCTGTTTACTGTTTACAACTTTTTAGCTAAAGCAAACAATTCTCACATCACCAAACTTCTTAAATCAGCATTTCATGGGAGGAAGGGGGAGAGGAGATGTGACCCGGAATATGTTTCATAGCAAATGAGAATGGGTAAGAGGGTAAGGAAATCCATGGAGAGCATTCCTTAAAAGTTACATCTTTGGTACAGCAGCATGCGTATCTATCCTGAGCAAGCAGGAAAGGAGGGACCAAAGCACGCCTATGAATCAATAGAAGCAATGTCAGCCTGTGCCATGTCCCATTACGATGGTCGCAACTACCAACACTTAGGTTGGCCATTAGGAAAAACTTCCTGTCTGTCAGGGTGGAGAAGCACGGGGATAAATTGCCCAGGGGGGTTGTGGAATCTCCATCTCTGGAACAAAACACAGGACTATGTAGCACTTTAAAGACTAACAAGAGGGTTTAGTAGATGAGGAGCTTTCGTGGGCCAGACCCACTTCCTCAGATCAAATAGTGGAAGCGGGTTTGGCCCACGGAAGCTCATCGCCTAATAAACCCTCTTGTTAGTCTTTAAAGTGCTACATAGTCCTGTGTTTTGTTTCAGCTAGACCAGACTAACACGGCTACATTTCTATCAGTATTCTCCATCACTGGAGATATTGAAGAGCAAGTTGGACAGATACCTGTCAGGGACGATCTATGATGCTTGGTCCTGCCACTGGGGCAGAGGACTGGACTCGATGACCTCTTCAAGTCCCTTCCAGGTCTATGATTCTATGAAGACCCCTTACATACTCCCAACAACTACTTTTTAACCCTTACATACCCCAACAGCTACTAACGGCATTTGCAATGACAACATGAGCTTGGCTTCTCAGTACTCCCATTAACTCCTGTGGCTTGTCATCAGCCAGAAAGCAGCTGGTTGTCATGGTGACACTGAGAGTAGGACTGCTCCATTTGACCTTGCATTCTTCCTTCTCTATTTTATAGACAGCTTCTTATAAGAGGCATGAGACAGATAGAGGCTCTGTCCGGGCACTAGCAGGCAAGATGTTACTCTCCAGGGAAATCTGTTTACACCGCGTGCTCAGACAGGTGTAAAGGGTGAGGTTATGTGACTGAGGGCCCAATCAGAGAGAGAGGGTTAGATGAAGAAGAGCACTGAGCTGATGGATTTTTTTAGTCCCTGTTCTGGTAGCTGGGGTTTTCCCTGCTCCTAAATCCTGACAATAAAGTCTTGTGAGAAAAGCTGCCTTAGAAAGGGTTTTTTCTCTCATATTTTCCCCAGTGGGCCTGGTTGGCTGACTTGGCTGGCTTTCTAGCTTGAGTTGTTGCATCATGTGTATAGGATCGACATACTAGTTCTAGTTCTGGAAGTGGTTTGCTGGGTTGATTTTTGTAGGTAGCTTAAGAATTTAGTGCCTGCACTTCTCTATCAATAGGAGCATAATGTCTACTCTACTCAAATAGTTCTTTGTGATGTAAAGTGTCCTGATAATGTATAAATGCAATATGCTTATATGACAGTGGAACACTTTGGAAGGAAGGTGGTTTCTTTAGACACTACTGACAAAGAAATGACCGAATCTTACTCTTGACCAGCCTGAAATAGTGACATTTCATGCACAGTCCTAGCATGCTACTTAAATTATTATTGACTTCCTGGAGTGTCTCAAATCCATGCCATGTGGGAATGAGCAACTCATTGCTAATGCAAATTGCCAGCATGAATTCACTTTGTCCATTGGCTATGATTGGGTTGCCCTCAGTTACTGACTTCTCATTCTAAAACTGCAGTAAAATATATTAGTTATGGAATCCTCCAGTAGATCAGTGTGTCAAAGCAGCAAGTAATAAAATGTTGTTTTAATTAAAAACAGAGATCAACACAGACAACCCCCCAATGTGCTCCATTCACAGTGAAACTTAAAATTAATTTTTGGCTGTGTCTATTTTGTTGCATAATAGAAGAAGTTTTATGTTATTTGACACACAATAGTTTTGTGCTTTTATTTTTTGCTGCAGGTTGACTGCTGTTCTGTTCTCAACGTGGTGCTGAATGTATACCATCTTTGAATCTCTTTAGGATGTCCAATGTTGCTATTGTAGAATATTTAAACTAATATTCTCAGCTTTTGTATTCAATAATACATTAAATGATTTAAAATGTGAAAGGCTCTGTCTGTCTAGACTAATTGAGCTATGTCTCACTGGATTACTTTTTAGAAAGGCTTTGCAGGCAAATGAAAACAGTGAATGAAATAAAAGAATAGAACCTCATTCTTAAAGTGATCGCGACTCATTATATCCTGATTTCTTTCTATTTTATATCAATGTTCTGTACAGTGTGTCACGGATAT